CGCCCTTCACCTCCGAAGAACCACCTTCGCCCTTCACCTCCTCTGCGCCCACAGGCAGCCCGGCTATGGCCGCCAGTGCCCTGCGCCCAGGCTGCACCCTACCGCTTAGCGCAGCCTGCCTCTACCTCCGCCTAGCGCAGCACAGCACCTCGCATTCGCGCAGCGTGCCGGCATTGCGTGCAATGGCCAAGATCCCTGCCCACTCGCCCTCCCTGCCTATATGCCAGTGTTGCGTGTGGGCGGCCTCCCTTGAGCCTGCGCCTGGGCCCCAGTACCTGTACCCGGGCCCAATGCGGTTGGGGCCCAGGAGATGCAGTCGCGCCTCTTTCATCAAGGCCTGCGTCCAGATTCAGATAGTGGACCGGTTTCCCTTTGGCATTTTCGGCCTCTATATCCAGCATGCATTTTGTCGGCCTCACGTTTATGTGCCCAGGGCCTAACCAACTCTGGGCCCCTGGGATTTCTGCATTTGCAGAGCTCCGATACTCGGTGCACTCCAACCAACTGGCAATGCTGCAACTGTATGGACCCCACTTCGTGAAATGTTTGCACAGAGGGCTCTTGTTGATTTGCTGGCCCGCCTTCACTTAGGGCGGGCACGAGCCTTGCTGGGGCCTTAGCCCAGAACATGTACATCATGGCAAGGCCCCTTCTTGAGGGCTCAATCCTCACAAACACCTAAGGAACTTATCATTTTCAAGTACAGTCGTACAGATTTTTCTTTCCATCCAATTGGGTGTGAGAAACAACCTCAAAAAGGTGTCTGGGACATCAGTCTTCAACTTAGGTAGCGCCGTTACTCTCTCGCCAGTTTTGTTTTTTTTTTCATCCCACAACAGCGTCTGGGAATTTTCCACACCGCGTCCGCTTGCATGTATGTTATGTAGTGTACTATGTAGCATGCACAGCATGTTAAGGTTGCAAGTATGGACATGAGAAGTCCAGTACATAATGGCTCACAGATGCTCTGGGCCTCGTTCCACTACTCAACATTCCATACATATCTAGACTGCACGATGGACCAGTTACATTCGGACTGATACAACATTTTGAATGTGTTGGGACGACTACCAGGTCCAGTTACATCTAGAATGTTGTGCAGTGAGCCGAGGCCGTCTGTCTGCCGGTTTCTGCTCATTTCATTTATAAGAGAAAAGGGAACTCTTTTCTTTCTTTCCCCTGACATGACAGACACATCCTTAGGGCTTATCACCCGCACTCACGCTCAAGTTAGCAAACCTCGACTCCATACAATGTGAGAGGAGCACGGCTTATCACAGCACAACCCAAGGAGAGGCGCAAGTGGCCACTTGGGCTTCCATCCATAGTCCGTCAAGATCGTGAGGTACGGAGCTTGGCTTATCACAGCACAACTCGAGGGGAGGCGCAATGGCCCTATATTGATGCTCTCCGAAGATCCTACTGCATTTATGTGAGAGGAGCACGCACAGGGGGGTGTGGCAGCCGGTGGCTGGTTCGGGTGGTTCCTATCTATATGACCTTGGACCCCTGTGCACGATCGGAATCGACCACCAGATCACTTGTGCGCCACTTGATGTACCACTGGCCTGTGTTGGTTGACGCCCACCGGCCGAATGCGCTAGGCTGCGGGTTTGAGAGTTCAAACATTCAACCTTACACCACAATGCGCATTTGACACCGGTGCTCTTCCCACTGAGCTAAGGCCGCGGTAATACCGTATTTTGCTTGCATGACGTTTTTGACGTTTTTTGACTTTGCGAGTATGCTAAGATGCAGAACGATGACCCAGAAAAATCGACAACTCTAGGTAGAAGGGGTGATGGCAAATATTTTCAGATATGGATGGGTAGTCAATAAGGACTTCATGCTAATGACTGGGACTCTGGTGCTTACACACGATTGATGGCCAGGAGTAAGACTCGGGAGGCTACACGCGCAACTAATACACATTGCACACTGGATGAGCTGCAGGCAGACAAGGATAAAAAAAAAAGGGGGGGGTGGTGACTATGGTGCAGTCACGAAAACAGTTTGAAAATGCACTTCAGGCATTCCCCCGAACACAACACAGCCCCACATGACCCTACCGGACCGGAAACCTAGCTTTGTATACATTCGACATTTTCAGGCCTTTTGCCTCAGCAAGTGCATTTTCAAACTCAAACCCTGACTACTCCGTCGTTTTCTCAAAAAACAAATCAGAGTATGGGATGAAGGGAGGAGGGGTTAAAGAGGTGAGACCGTGAGAGGGAACAAAGGAGTCCCGGGGCCAAGTCCCACCCACTAGCAGGGGTTTAGTCTTCCTTCCAAGTATTTTTCAACGTCACCCCCACAGTGGGGCACTCATTTAGATGCTCAGATCAGATGGCAGGAACCGGTGCATACTCGAAAGTAAGCGTAACCCCCCCGGCTAATGGGACTTGGCCCCCAGGGGTGGGTCTTGCCTACAAAAGGTGGGGGATTTGTCGGTGACGCTAGGGGCCGAAGAAACTTGTAGCGGCTGGGTACCATTGGGAGTGTCCGGGCTACAAGCTGTCAACTCACAACCGCATGCGGGGCCAAGTCCCGCTACCGTTGTGACCCGAATAGAATGCCCGGTCATTATAGCCGCAATTGGCCCAACTGTCAGTCCAGATGCAGCGATAATGACCGGGCATTCTATTCGGGTGAAGACGGTAGAGGGGGTTTAGTCTTCCTTCCGAGTATTTTTCAACGTGGCCACAGTGGGGGCCATTATATGTTCAGATCAGATGGCAGGAACAGGGGTGCGAAATTGAAACCAAGTCTAAATCCCCGCGAATGGGACTTGGCCGCCGCGGGATGGATCTTGCCCACAACCGTGGGGGATGTGTCGGTGACGGTAGGGATTGAAGAAGCTTGTAGAAGCTGGGTACCATTGGGAGTCTCCAGGGTTCTAGGAGAAGGAAAGGGAGCCAGCTGGCTCTCTAGGGGCCGATATGTCAAACCCGGGGGAATGCCCGCTGCTGCTTTCTAAGGCCTATCTTGTCATGTACCTCATGCTTGTCGGTGATGATGGGACGTGTGTGTGTGTATGTTACTATGTTTCAAACCATGGGATCGGGTCCAATGGATCTCTATCAGTTCCTGATATGTTTGGGCCCTGCTGCTGACTTTGAGAGATTTAATATCTACTGCTTCCAGGGATAAATAGGACTTCACAAATTCTATCTTTCATGGTCAATGCTGACTTTCATCCATTTCTTGACTGTAATTTCTTGACTGTAATTAAACCCCCAATATCCTCCCCAAAACCCATAAGAACGAAAGTTATCAAACTATTAATGCACAGCATCTTTGCTCACAAGCTGTCCTAACCATGCTGCTTTATGTCTCTGTCTGTCTGTCTGTCTCTCTCTCTCTCTCTCTCTCTCTCTCTCTCTCTCTCTCTCTCTCTCTCT